TATATATATATATATATATATATATATATATATAATAATAATATATATAATATATATATATATATATATATATATAAATAAACGCGAGGAATTAACGAGGAACGCGATATTTACGAGGAATTGCCGCGGCGAAACGTTCGCTATCTTGCATCAATCTTTGTCTGAGTTCGTGTCGTCCAATATTAGGTGGTCCGATGAGTACAATTGGCCTTTTGTGATTTGCACGAGGATAATATAAGGCGACTTCTTCGTAGGTTAGCACTTCCTCGCTGTCATAATCTATGAGAAGAGACGTTAAACGTTAACGGAGAATAGTTTTTACAAACAATTTATAATTGATATTAAGTTAATTATTAAAGTTAGTTTAGGATTTAGGTGTACCGTCTATGGCAGTTGTCGCATAAAGTGGATACCCATCATCGTTGAAATTTGCACCGAACTTGTTTCGTTTTTTCTTCTTTGGATTTTTTCTCGCGCATAGTAACGTGCTGGACTTTTTCGAACCTCGCACCGTCGACTTGTCGCCAGCTATCGTCTGTTTCATGGATTCTCGCCTATATAAATAAAATTAGAACGTATAATGCATCGAATGTTGTTAACATCGTCACATACTTCTCGATTAGAGTCAACTCACTGATGTTGAAACGCTCGACTCGGTATCAGACCAGCCAGAGTCTGGTCCTCCTCGCCTTCTCGATACGCTTGCCACCAGTTAGGATCCTCTTGGGAAATTACGTGGAGTATATCACCCTTTTGAAAACTCATGCCCAACTCTCGGCACGGTATGTATGGGTCTTCCTCAGGATCGTAATCGAAATGCGCTCGTATATGTATCTAGAGATGTGAATGGTAGAACCTTCATGATTACAAATGTCACGTTATACCTGCGATATTATCCGTGCAATAAGGCCAGAACAACACACGTTTTGTTTACTACCAGCATCGATCTATAAATAATTCTGTATGTGTGACTTGCCAGCACTAATGTGCCAGCGCCGTTAAGATAAAGGAACAAATGTCACACGCTTATGCGTTATATATGCTTATTACCTTCGCTTTCGTTCGTATTCGTGTGCGCGTTAGCTCAGTCAATGCAGATACGCTCGATAAATATTAATTAAGCGAACGGTAGAATGATTCTCTTAAATGGCATAAATTTTCCTAAATTGCAGATATCAAGAAGTAAAAAGGTATTCGCAAGTAAAACGATCAATGTCAGCGGTATCTTGGAAATTGAAGGACGAGCATTTTCTATTTGACATTTGCCCTTTCACCTCCAACGAGGTCACCGTCACAATATCGGTTGTTCTAGTTTCAAGATTCAGATACGACAGTCTACATATCTTTCTGATATGCAAGGATGTGATAAATATATCAGGATATATGTTGTATAGTCCGTATACCTGTGTCGTGTCTTCTCTCCTTAAATTATTTCTGTGGCTTGTCGGAGCCGGAAGTACCAAGAACGTGAGACTACCCTGCATACCAGCGAGAATGTCGCAGACCTCATTGACGGTCTTACCGCGCATTTCCACTCCATTCACTTCGAGAACTTCGTCGCCCTCGTGCAGAAGTCCCGACTTATCCGCCGCACCACCGCGTACGACACGTCCTTGTGAAACGTTATACATGTATTAGATATGTATCTCGGTGCTTCTCAAAATTGAACCATAAAATCATAATGAACCGCCGTATATATTTTTAACGGAGATTACAGTCCGAAGAGATGAGACTAGAAGTGGATGTAACAATATATACATGTTAACGCATGCTTACCTATGATTACTGCATCTCCCTCGTTCCTAACGGTAGCACCCAGAGGTTCGTTAGTCTTTTCAATTCGAATGATTTTAATGTTGTCAACTACTCGGGAATCTTTCCAGCTAGACGTCGGACTAGGCGGGCCGCTGGGTGGCGAGGACGATGGGCTCTGCTTCCTTTGTAAGCCTTCCACATACGAAACGATGGAGTCATGCGCCAGAAGCAGAGCTTCCATGTCGTAACTTGTTAGAATACTCGTTAATTCCTCCACAGCGGCTATTGTTTCTGCTCCGCCAACACCTGTTGCAGTTGACGATGATTGCCATTTTTCTAGGATATCGACGCACTAAAACATCACGCGTCGGAATGTTAGAATAGTAAGTATATAATATTTGAAGCGGATAAATAATGACGAGATATTCAATACGGGTAAGGGCTTTTTTTTCCCATGAAATATGTTAAGTAGCGATAGTCATATAGACAGTTCGGAATTATTTATATTCTATGTTTGCTAAAATTAATTGGAATAAAAATTTTAACTTAACGTTTGTAACTTAATTGAATTGTGCAAAAAGAAGTAACAGAAAGAAGCAGCATCGTTACTAAAGTATTTGAAATGAAAATTGAGCTCTTAAGAGCTCTTTCATTATTCCAATTGATTTGCCGATATCGATGTAAATCGATACATCGACTAGTCTCACGACTCAGAAGAATATTTTCAACTGACAAACAAAGATGAATCGAATGTTCTTACAGCAAGCGTGAATATGTGAATAATAATTATAGACATTTCCTTTAATCATAATTTAAATTAAAATTATTAATTTCACGTACATCTCGCGCTAGACTCGATGCGTCCTCGACATGATGTTTGAAAATCTTGCTCGCCCTCAGTCGATTTTTTAAAGCGTGACGAGTTGCCAAGGCGGACGCAAATCGATTCTGCACCAGAAGTGTCCGGACTGCCTCGAGCTCGGCTTCGACACCTGAACCCGAAATACCAAGAGCACCTGAAATATTCCGCAGCTGTAGCTGCAGCCTCTCCAGCGTAGCAACGACCTCGCCGTATGCTGAAATATGAAAGGTATACTTGTTAGAAACTTCCTTGCGCGGAATCTCGTGCCGCGGCACCCACTGTTTATTTACGCTACGCAAGATGGATTGCTATAAGAGCTATAGAGAAGAGCTATAGAAGAACTATATTTAGTAACGTTCAATTTTCAGCAACTTTCAGAAAATTCTTTAAATACCGTTCTCATGTCCATAAGTTGTGAAATTAATTTTGCAAGAGACCTAACGCAAACAAAATCAATAAAAATTCTCTTGACTAAAAAAATTCTCTTGAAACTAGCGCGAAAGAGACGAAACATAAAGTTGAAAAAAAGTTGAAAGGTCAGTGTGTACCAATAAAATTGTACCGCATTAAAATTTACAACTGTGCCGATTTATGTTAGTTTTCTTTTGTGAAAGGATATGCAAAAAAGGATATGTATTTGAAAGAGAAAGACCGCTTACTGAGGGGTCTGGGAGGTTCATCCACTTCTTGGAGCGCATTAGAAGTGGCGTGCGTGACTCGGCTGACGCCGGTGGTCACCTCGTCCTGTGCGTAAGCAAGATTTTCCTGGCCGCTGAGGCTCGTCGCGTGGCTCTCCAAAGCTTGGAGCTTTTTAGAACCACGGAGAGAATGGCTGAGCATTTCTTGTCTCTCCTCCTCATCCTTTCGTTTCCGTAATTGCTCCTGCAAGTGCACGACATAATCGATAAACATAATTGATTGTCCATTTCATAAACATAATTGATTGTCCATTTTTTCCTTTACAAGATATAAAAATGTTTGTAAATTCAAATTTTACGACAATATAGAACAGAATCCTTTCCCGTATGTATTCTACTGAGCCAAGACTGTCAAAATGAAGATATTCAAATTCTATCCGATGATTATTTACTTAAAAATATACGACACGTCTCTTCGCATAAAATAATTCATATATTTTTTAAACATTACACATATCGGTTTCAATATATTTCAGATGATAATCGTGAACGCAAATAATAAGATAATTTTTTAAGAGATATAAAAAAGGAGCTTTCGCCAAAATTTCAATAAACTAAATTTATTATGCATTTTTTGCATATTCTATGCAGTATTTTTTTTTAGCAGTAAGACTACGATACTAATATTTCACAAATTTCGAAAAGGTAGTACTATTTCGAATCTGTGTTTTTTTTTCTTTTTTACAGCGTCTTAAAGAAATCTTATTGAGAGTTATTGTAACAATTGTGCCGATTATGCAAGATACTGCGAAATAATTGTTACATGCAACTGTATGTAACGAGTCGTAGTGAATCGCAAATGTGCGGCTCACTGTGAAAATTATAGGGCACTCTATGCGATTCGCTGCTCGAACAAATTAAAGAGTCCTTGAACGATATCAAACTCAAGGATCGATCGGACGTCTTTGCGAATATGTATTACTTCATCAATTATTTTGAGATAGCTTATATTCAGAGGAACAGTACGTTTTTAGTTCCGAGTGTCAACTAAATCTGGCAGTGCACATCAATATATGTATCGCACATTCCATCTACGCGCATCTACGAACAATATTTTCTCATACAAGTCATACAAGTTTTTAATCTACAAAAATATTTTAAGTAAAATCTCTCTTGTGGCACGAAAGTAAAATTTTATTTTTGCGTAAACTTTTTGCTAATTTCGCGATTTAGCAATTTTATCAAATTCTTACCCTTATTTTGCATAAATTTATTATACTATTAAAATGTATTTGTACATCAAATATGTATTTGTACATATACAAATATATTGGATGAAATAAAACAGATTTTTTGCTAATTTCATGCAAAGTCTTAATAATAATAATAATAATAATAATAATAATAATAATAATAATAATAATAATAATAATATATTGTCATGAAATTGTAGCTGAATATTTATATAGGTAGCTAAAATTCTATATTTTATTCCAAACTTATTTTCGAGCCATTTGATGTGTTGACGTTCAATGCAATCAATATTTTATTTTTAATGATGAATCGTCGATATCTCCTCTTGATCAGGTGGCACGAATTTGTCATGTCGAATTAGCCGTGTAGTATTTCGTAATTCGTGATCTACGCCCACCAGTGTCAACCGATAAGGTTTTATCGTTAGTCAGCCGTTGTGCTTTACCGTAAAGCACAATTGCGTATAGCAATCGTGCGATAAAAAATGTTTATCTGTGTAATGCTGCCGGCAGTCGGCAGCAAAAGATACGACTCGTAATTCTCATTTATATAACAAGTATCACGTTTTGCAGCTACGCACGACGACACTACAAGAGTTGAAGGGTAGAAATACCTCGGCGAAGCCCCGTTTGTCGCGAGAATGAACGTAGGGTTTCCTGCGGAACCCGAGCTTGTCCTCCCGCACAACGTGCCTAGACCAGGCACAACGTGGAACGAGTTAAAAGTGTCATGTAAGTGTATGTAAGAGATAAACGTAAAAAAGAGATGATTATGACAATAAGACGGATCCTCTTTCCGGGAAAAACTAGTGTTAGTTTTCAGTTGCTTATATAAGATCTCTTAGCGACGTGGAATATCTACAATCTGATCCAACACGTGACTTCATTTCGATAAGAATCAATTTATGAAACTTGACAGAATAGAATAATAAGTTAAATTGAACTCTCTGAGCGAGAAAACTCTCTGTGTGAGGCTTTATATTTTTATTTTTATAAAATTATTAAAGATTCTCAAGCAGCGGCATACAGGGATTAAAAAATGTAAATTGAAAAGAAGTGGACATTCGATGGATTCGATGGAATATATCAGCAGCTAATAAGAAAGGGAAAAATAAAGAAAGGTGCGATTTAATTAGAGACATCTGCTACAGATCTATCTATTTCGAGATATTAGAGCAGCGAGTCGAATTGAAAAGAGATGGATCTGAGATGGATCGTTCGTCTTCTTGAGGCAGATCAAGAAAGGGATCCCTGAGGTC